CTCAAAGGGTTATACCAGAGAATGAAGGGAAAACAACATCACTTTGCCACTTGGATGTCGAATAATTATAGATTCCACAGTATAAACGTTACTTAAATTTGAACAATTATATTTTCTCTTTTTAACGCATATTATTTTTCATATGTCGCAGCCAGGACCAGAGAAAACGATAATAGAAAAGCAACAGAAATTGTAATTGGTCATAATACTGACTGATGTCGAGCGGTCAGTCAAGTTAGAATATCAAGTTACGTCCAATCAGTGAAAAAACTCAAGGCACCTGTGTTAACCGCAAGCCTCGCCCGTCGCGACGCATGACCTTTCTCGTTGGAGAATTTAGCACATATATGGAACGAGAAAAAGCACTTTCCACAAAAATCGTACGACTTCACGGCATGGTAAGAACTGAGGGAAGAATCAAGGAAATGAATCACTTTTGTACTGAGCTTGGCCTTGATGATGCTACTGTTTATGTAGCGAAATGCGTCAGCAAGTAGCTGGTGTATCATCTATTGTATTTGGTGTCCTAAACCCTGAATCGTTCAAATACCTATTTATATAATTATGGGCCCAGAATGAAAAACCGGAAGTATTATTTATTGAATTGCTGTGTTCAACTGACCAAAATGAAACAATTTCCATTTTGTATACTGTGAGGACTTTCATTTGTTTGCCATAGCAGCATGTTTTAAAAAGCACAAACCATCCACTTGAGCTCACGAAAGTAAACGATGCACGATACGTTCATTTATGCATTCATAATTCAAAGCAACTGTTTAACCGTTGTTGTCAGGGTAGTTGACGGAAGCGAAAACAAAGTAACAAGAAAATATCACTCGTGTCCCACGAAGACTTCAACAGCGTTTTCGGACTTCGATTGTCCAGACCTCATTCTGCACCGTTTCCATCACTGAGGTATTAAATCAGCTATCAACAAAAGTTGCATTCAGCTAAAGCTGCTAGTCGACAAGGCGAGTAGTCGACGTTGTTTCAGAGGATTTCGGTTGATTCTGCTCACAAGGCCGAAGTAACTTAACTCAGCCGAAACTGAGGTTATTCTCTGCTCTTCATCATGCTCTGACTAGCCTCGAATGCGCCTTTGTTTTGTAAGATTCATGGATAAGCTGCTGCATCCGCGTATTGGCAAAGTGGAGGTTGCCACCTTGCAATGGAGCTATGATCTGCTTAAACAGTTGACCAGGCATACAGCAACAAGTGGCGGGGAACGGTTGTGCAAATTCCAGTGTAATGACCTCTGTAGTCAACAAAATTAATGTGAACCAAGTGTAAACTATAAATTATGAATTCATCCTTACCATCGATTACTCTTTGACCGACCTTCTGTTTAGAATCCGCCAAAATTTGCCCGTTAAATCGTCTTAGCAAACGCTTACTGCATAATAAATGGTGGCCATAACGAATGTATAAGTCAACTGCAAGAAGTGGAGACAATGATTGGGTTTAGAAAACGTCTCGATTGCTGTCCTTGATTTCAAAACTCACTATTTCATGGTTATGTACGTAAATGACTGGTATTTGTCAAAGAGGGTCCTTCGTTGCTACTCCTCAACTTTGTTCAGCATATTAGCTATGGGTCAAAATTTTGAGCGATCGATTATGCCTGTGTACAGATTGAATTATGAGAGATAAATACGAGGGAACCTATTAGTACCTCTATCCTAGCTCCTGTGTTAAAGCTAAACCAGGCTCTGCATTCGTTCAGGAGTATGAGTGAAGGACTCTTTTAAAATTAGTTGATTTCTTGCTGAGGCAAGGTCTTATATAACGCGCTAATTATATCTACCACTGACCAAGCTATCGTCAAGTGCTTCACTTCCCTGAATCCTTTAGGCTAAAAGTTGGCTAGGAAAACGTTTGCAATAGTTTACGAGGGCTGACTCACTGAATGGACTGACAAGTGACCAGTGGCCGTAAAAAGCTCAAGGAAAAGGAAACGTTTGGACAGCGTCGATTTGCATTGGTTGCTCATTCAACACGGGAACAGGTGTGATGAAGGGTGAAGAAAATATTTATTAATGCTACACAGGGCGATGCTTCATTTTCTTTTCAGCGCAGGAACATACTCTGGCAAGAAAATTATTGCGTAATACCTGTAAAAGCGGTAGACGGCATTTTATGCAGAACGATCCATGAGCGGACGACCTGGATGGAGAATCATTGATTTTCTGTGCAGATGAGTTATTAAGTCCAGAATGATGAGCAACCCTCACGTGGCAAACCTTTAAAAGTAGCATGAGGTTAAATCTGTGCGTTATGGGTGAGCGAGGTACTGTAATATGTCATAAATAGTTCACATAACGTTTTTTATCCGTGTCATCGACTTCCAATCCTCCCAACTTCACGCCTGCAGTAATTTACGGCCGCACAATTCTCTACCGTCAATGCCCCATAAAGAACCAGGGACACGGACAAGCCAGAAATTGGCAGAACAGCTCAAAAGCTAGAAGCCAATACCTTGGAATCTAACCTTTTGGCTTTGCTCCCAGAAGGGGCCTGTTGACCGCAAGACTATCCTAGTCAGACGCATAATTGCAAGTTAAAGGAATGCAAGTTTCGGTGAAATCCATCAACTGAGTATGTTTTGCATTGTTTCTCAACAGGTACTCGATACATACAGTCTCATTTACAGAAATACTACTCAAATTCATCGCATAACTGTGAAAGCTATGAATAAACTTGTGACATTTTACCAATTCATATGACATCGAAAAGAAGATTAGTAATTCTTGAAGTTTGTTCCTCTTAAAGAGCCCAGACAACTATCTTAATATGATGTGGCTGCTGAAGTACAAGATATGAAACCGTCAAACGAAGAATGTAAAAGCTGAACCTTCGCTCAAAATTAACGACGGTAATACAAATACTTCTAGTCTACAGTCTTGAAAAAATCACCGGTTTTCCGCCATTTAGAAAGTGGGCATTTTCTTTTAGCTCTTCTCACCTGCTATCCATTAAAATCTTCCACCACCTTTTTGTCATTTACTTTGGCTCTGTTTGTCGCCTCGATTGGACAAGCTTATTTCTTGCAGCCACTGACGCTGATTGTCACCGCTGGAACGACGTAGGTGAAAAATGTTACCGTAACTAAACGTGGACTTTATCGATCGTCGCATGACGTGATTCATCACTTCACAGAACGAGAACAACATGCCATTAGCGACAAAGAAATGAGCAAATCAAAAGGCAACATTCTTGCTCGAGGTCTGCCGCCGGACAAGTGCATACTGTATCATCATCGGCGTTCGTGTCGTTCGGCAGATACGGTTTGCGTGGTCCAGCATTGAGAAAGACCGACGAAAAAATTGCGGCTGACTTTTCATACGGTAAGAATAAGGAGTGGTGCCAAGAAGAATTTTGTTCCCCTTCAATATCAAAATCTGCTCATCTATCGTAGCTCCCTATCTTCAAGCTTCGCTTTAGCTGTTACCCGTTTCGTTGCAGAGTCGCTGTTTCATTTTGCATCCGTTTCACACTGACGTATTTTTTTCTTTTAATGGTGTGCAGTGATTTTGATTTATTTACGGAGGGTTGGCTGACCACTTAGCGCAAAAATCAGGAACCGTTTTTTATTGATCAAGGTCAGAAGAAGAAATTTGCCTGGACACAAATTGCCACGGTTCTTACTGCTGCCTCACCACTGTGCACTCGCCAAACCGGAAATTCGTTCGAAACCGTTTCGTCAGCGGCCAAGCAGAAGCCCGGCCTTTTTCTGACCATGTATGGTCTACGATTCAGCCGGTTCTGCTGTTTCTCTCGCTACGCTTTGCCCTCGGTCAAGGCAAGGTATCCTCTACTTACAGTACATGTTTAAAGACTAAGAGAACAAAGAAGAGTGACGCCCTCAGGATTGGTTGGTTGCCGTAGGTAGAATTCTTTCGAACTTGAGTTTTGTTGCACACTTGGTCATATTGATCGATATTCATTCGTCTAAAACGACGACGGTGTTTTCGGAACGACCAGTTTTCTGTCATCATCGACATCAAGCGCGTAACAACTCCTAACAATTGTCCAAGGTTGAACGGAACGGAACGCGTGAGAGCGGATGAGAGAAGATCACCTACCTACCTGATCGCTGATGGGCATGGCAGAGTTATTCGTTGGTCCTCGTACCTCCTTTTCCCTCGTCCTTGCAGATGGAACGAGCAACACGCCTTAGGACCAAGTCAACGTACCGTCGTAGAATGTCCCCAACGTCGCCCTTTGCCTCCCCCGACCGGTCGACGGACGGTTGCTGTAGAGACAGAGCTTTGTTGCCACTGCGTTGTTGTGTGATCGGCCTGTCGCCGACCGACAGACCTCAGGCTACTCCTATTTAACGAAGCACACAACGATACAAAAGAAAGGTCTCTAATTGAAACCTGCATTAAACCATTGTTCCCTTCGTTGTTTTCGTCGACAGCTGAGCCACCTTCGAGGCAAGGACTACACGATGATGAGGAGGCTGAGAATCGCTTGACTCTGACAACACGCCACCGCCTCACCACTAACTTCCTCGAAACACACACCTATGCGTCTTGTACCGTCGCGGCGCGCTTTCGACTTAGCGCTCTTTCTGAATAGATATTCGCTTCTCGCTTCTAAATTCGGTTGAACAATGGCATCTGACCAGACAACGCCGTTGATGAACGTTAATTACAAAAAAACCAGTTTTTTTCTGTTTCCTTTTATAGCCACTCGTCTCGAAATTACAGTATAATTTTGCACACAACACCGAGTGTTGTTCTCAACACCACTTCTTACTGTCCATGGTTTGTGCTTCATCTTTTTTTGTACAGCAATTAGCGCTGCAGTTCTGACCGATGGAAAAAAAACAACAGGTGATACGCTCAAGGACTGGCATTGGCGGAAACCTTTTGGAAACAACCTTCAGCTGACACTCAAAAACACAAAACAGGATGCTGATGTGATTGTGCGTTGTCGAATGCTGAAACGTTAAATTGCCGTTAAGCGTCATATGTATAGCGATAAACACATGATTTATGATTTGGCGCCTTGACCCGCGTACGTGGTCATTGCGTCTGTCAAGGGCGACGGTGTTGCGGTCGTGTTCGGTTGGCGGTCGCTGTCACCCCGGACCCGGATTCGGTTTGGGTTTTGGGTACAGAAAACAACAATTGAAACGCCATCGCCAGTCGTTTCGACCGTTGACCACGAGCCTCGCTCGGGCGATGAGCTTCGGCTTCCGTCAGTGTCATCCCTCTCGTTCCCTCGCACTTACTGTCGACGTCCTCACCGTTGAAAATGAGCTTTCGATTCTGCGGCGCCAGATCGTAGGTCGATATTTTTTGGTGTTGTGCACGTCCGGATGAAAAATCACCGTGCTATCTCATTATTTTTGCTGCGACCACAGATATTGATCGTTTCGTTGCAGAAAACGCCAGCCGATGATGACGGCCTGCGCGACCAGCAATGACGTAGTCCAAAGGCGTCTGTGTGCACATGATAAGTGCATGTACCCAATAATGCATGGCTAAGTTTCGAATGCCCGCCACTGCCCAGAATGAGGATACTCACAGAAGACAACGTTTCACATTCACAAGCTACATTGCTCAATCGCCCCTCATCAGCCGTACGGGTCCAGCAAAAAAAA